GGTTTAGATGAGCACGTCAGCCGCCACTCCGCCCCCCTGCAATGGAAAAAAGCCTCAAAAGCGAAAGCATTAGGGTTTAGGGTGTAGGGTTTGCCGCTCCCCAAACCCTAGAGGCAGCCGAGAGGCCCAGACATAGGAAGTCCTCACACGAAGCGAGAAGCAGCCAGAAGGCTCCCCAGCTGAGATCTCTCTCTGTTTGTGTCTGCCTGTCTTCAGGAAGATGCTGCCCATTCTCAGCGACCAGGCGACGCTGCTCAAAGCCAAAGCAAAGCGTTTCTTTGACATTGATGAAGATGCGAATGCGCTTTGGAAGGAGACCATGGGTGTTCTACTTAGAACTCCCCTAGGTGCACCGACATGGGAAACACCTCGGTTCCACCTGCCGTCCTCCACACACACGCCCATCCGGTGTCCTTCCACACACAACACAGGCAAACTATGAACACAATATCCTCACACAGCTCAGCTTCTGGCGTGCACCTTTCCTGCACAGCCACACCAACTGCCCCTTCCCCTCTCTCTCTCTGTGTGTGTGTGTGTCCTCTGCTGTGCGACGGACGACAGGAGTTGTGCAACATCCGGAAGGACAAGGGCATCCACTGCCGCAGCGGCGTGCACGTGGCGGCGTCACACGGCGGACTCTACGCGGCATACATCAGCCCGTAAGCCACCCAGCACACAGCACACAGCACACAGGCGGGCGGCTTCATGTGTGGGTGTGTGCTGGATGGGCCACTGGTGGGTGTGCACTCACTGCAGTGACTACCACTGCGGCCATGGCGGCGGCAATGTGGCCATCAAGATCGGCACCAACCACTGGGGACCTGACGGGGGCAGTAAGCAAAGCAGCCACCACCACACACACACTCAAGTCGAGCAATTCATCATGTGCACAATCCTGCCTGTCTGCCTGTTGTTTGTGTGTACTTTGACTGACGATTGCAGACTGGAAGGTGGCGTGCAGCGGCCACGAGTTCTGCGTGTGGACGCGATGATGAGATAGATGAGGGACCGACCCCCCCCCCCCCCCC